GATGACCTGTGAGCAGGCCCAGCTTCTGGCTAACCTGGCGCGGCTCATCAAGGCCAAGAAGGTCCTGGATCTGGGTAGGGGCGCGCAGCCCAGAGCACTGGGGGCCCGGGTCACTGGGGCGCCCGCCCAACCCTGGCTGAACCTGCCCGTGTCCCCGTCCTAGGCACCTTCACGGGCTACTCTGCCGTGGCGCTGGCCCTGGCGCTGCCCCCGGCCGGGCGCGTGGTGACCTGCGAGGTGGACGCCGGGCCCCCGGAGCTGGGCCGGCCGCTGTGGAGGCAGGTGAGTGGCCCGCACACCGGGGCCACGTGGGCGCGCGCGGAGGGGGCGTGTGCCGGCCCTCACCTGGCTCCTTCCCCAGGCCGAGGTGGAGCGCAAGATCGACCTGCGGCTGCGGCCGGCCCTGGAGACCCTGGGTGAGCACCGGCACGGGAAGGGCCTCGCTCCATTCCCAAGCAGGGTCACTGGCCGGAGCCCGCGGCCAGGTCTGCCCGGGGACACTGACGGCGCCCCCAACCGCCCGGCCTCATGGTAGGCGGCCGCGCGCGCCGGGGCCGGCCTGGTCCGGGGCTCCCGGCCTGGGACCGCAGCCTCAGCCGCGTCTGTCCCCGTGTCCCCGGCTAGACGAGCTCCTGGCGGCGGGCGAGGCCGGCACCTTCGACGTGGCGGTAGTGGACGCCGACAAAGAGAACTGCGTCGCCTACTACGAGAGGTGTCTGCAGCTGCTGCGCCCCGGAGGCGTGCTCGCCGTACTCAGAGTAAGGGCGGGACCCCGAGAGCACCCCTAGCCCGGGGCCGGGCCCCGGGGGCTGGGCCCTGCGTACCTGTGACGCCCTCCCGCACGTACGCACACCGCGTAAGCTGCGTCGGCTTCAGTCCCGGGTCTCCAGTGCTTGCCCCGCCCCTTCCCGCCCCGCCCCCGCGACGCCCCGCCCCCGCGACGCCCCGCCCCTCCGCAGGTCCTGTGGCGCGGTGAAGTCCTGCGGCCGCGGCCAGGGGATGCCGAGGCAGAATGCGTGAGAAACCTGAACGAGCGCATCCGGAAGGACGCCCGGGTCTACATTAGTCTCCTGCCTCTGGGCGACGGCCTCACCTTGGCCTTCAAGATCTAGGGCTGGCTGGGAACCCCCAGGCGTTGTCCCTCCAAGTGTGACAATAAAAGCAGAGTGGGGACGCGTGACTCTGTGAGCCTCCCTCCCTGGCGGCGAGTGGGAATGGGGAGGCCCAGGACAGCATTTCTAGTGGGGTGCACGGTGCGCCCCGCCTCCTGGACGTCAGGGCTGCGACCCTGAGGGATCGGTAGACAGGATACTGATTTAATGGACCTAGCCACTGAAGTGAGCCAGAGGCCACAGTTCCGCAGGCTGGTCTCCGCTGGCAGGGCTGAGGACTAGCCCCTGACCAGGCCGCCAAGCACAGCCCTCTTAGTTTCCCTACTAAATCTCTTGGGGTGAGGCACAGGTCTTAGCTCAGTACAGCCTGGGCTTCTCCAAGTGCTGGTCAGTGGCCATCACTAGGAGGGCCTCTACCTACACCTGAGGGCTCAAGGGCGGCTTGGATAGAGATCTGCAGTTCCCCTGAAGGGAAACGAAGTGACTGCAATCCTAGGGGTGAAACCTTCACTATATATTGACACCTTTCCCTGAAGCTACTAGGCTTTGCCCCCAGCTTTTGGAGTGGACTGTAAGCCTGGTACTGTTATTCAAAATTCTCCAATCCCACAGATTTTATCTCCCCAACAAAGGGCAGGTTCTCTCACTAAAACTGCCTCAATCAAGGGGCTGGGAAGGTGGCTCAGTGGTAGAGAGCTTGCCTTGCATGCATGAGGCCCTGGGTTCGATTCCTCAGCACCACATAAGCAGAAGAAAAAAAAAAAGCCGGAAGTGGTGGTGTGGCTCAAGTGGTAGCATGCTAGCCTTGAGCTGAAGAGCTGAGGGACAGTGCCCAGGCCCAGAGTTCAGGCCCCACAACCGGACACACACACAAAAAAAAAATAAATAAATAAATAAAAACCACAGGCAGAAGTGGCACCCCTACCAAATTGGTGGAGTGGAGCAATGCCAGAAAGTGCCAGAACCCTGGCATCAGAGAGCACATACACACATTCACACACACAAACATCCATCCCTACAACACAAGACTTGCCACCACCTGGTGGTAAGAGGTGATGGAAACCCAGCCACAGAAGCTACATGAATCCACAGCAGAGATTTTCACACCCCACTTACCTTGCATTCTTCACAATCCTCAAGGCCCATACTCTGCCCTTTCTCTCTTAACTCCTAAAAGCTTACTGGAGTCTGACTTAATAAAAAGATCTACCTTCATAAAAAGATCCTTGGGGTTTAGAATGCGGCTTAGTGGTAGAGTGCTTGCCTAGCATGCATGAAGCCCTGGGTTCAATTCCTCAGTACCACATAAACAGAACACACCAGAAATGGCACTGTAGCTCAAGTGGTAGAGTGCTAACCCTAAGCATGAGCAGCTCAGGGACAGTGCCCAGGCCGAGTTCAAGCCCCAGGACTGGCAAAAAAAAAATCCTTTCCTGGAGCATATTGGAGTCATCCATTACTCCAGTCCTCCCTTTTTATTTCCTGAGCCTGGCTTGGACCTTGGCATTCCGTTTGAATTCCTTCTTCTAACTGGAACATTTGTGTTGTATCTGTAACACTGGCACTGAAATAAAGACCACGTAGTTAAAGAAAAAAAAAAAATCCTTGACAAAATGAGTCACTTGTGTACTTCACTTGTACACTTGTTTACTAGGAGCAGCAGGCCAGCATGGCTATAGACTTCCAGCCTGCTAGGCACCACCAGTAGTGGTAGATAACTTACACTTATCCACAGGTCTAGGCTACTCTGCCAGCATGAGGTGCTATCTTATATCCTATCTAGCTAACAAGATACTTCTGTATCTCTATACTGGAGGTCCTGACCAAATCCTGACCATTGAGGCATGCATCTGAGACATCTGAGAATCTTCAGATTTATGTAGCCAACACAGCCAATCCCTTTCAGTCTCTGTATAGAGAGTTTTTAGCATATATCTTTATAAGGGCTAAGTCCCAAAGTACTCCCAATTTTTTTCTTTTTTTTGTTGGTCGTAGGGCCTGAACTCTGTCCCTCAGCTCCAGCTCTTCTGCTCAATGCTAGCACTCTACCACTTGAGCTATAACACCACTTCCGGCTTTTTCTGCTTATGTGGTGCTGAGGAATGGAACCCAGGTCCTCAGGCATGCAAGGTAAGCACTCTACCATGGAGCCACCTTCCCAGCCCCACATATTCCCAGTTTCTTACCTGTTCTCTAACTTTCAAATGGAACTTCAGTTCTCATATTCCAGATGTGCTCAATAAAAAAAATCTCCTTTCTCTAAAATTTCATTTTATCCTTCAAACTACCTCTTCCCACCTGAAAACTTGTTTTCCTACCTTTCCAAACAAAGCTATACTTCAATCACTGATATACCTAGATGAAATCCAGGCAAAGGCCATGGGGTTTGCTCCTGGTATGACCTTAGTCCAGCTTTCAATTAGTTATGTCTCTTGAAGGAGATGAGTGCTGTCTTCTCATGCCCCTCCCAGCCCTTCTAGCTAATGACACAGCCAACACTTTACTCCATCCACTTCCCATTCCCCAATCTACCTGGGGCCTACCCAGCTCATTTTCTGCAAAAGCTAACTGGTATACAACACTGTAAGCCCACTTTATCTGTGGGTTACACAGTTTTAACCAAATATGGTCAAAAGGTAATGCCAAGTAATGGGCTTAATTTAAATGATAAAGTGAAAATATTACACTTGCTGAAAGGCAGAGCATTTTTAATGAAAGCTGGGTAGTGTTATAGGAAAAATAAGTAAAAGTTGTATTAAAGATAGAGCACTGAGATCCAAGTTTTTGGTGAGTACTATTAATGGGTACAAGAGTTATTTTGTGAAAGTAATGAAGCCTACTCCATGTGGTTTCAAGTTATGGATGTTCAGACCCAGTGTATGAATGGTATCAGTAATTTTTTTTTTTGGGGTCCGGTTGTGGGGTCTGAACTCTGGGCCTGGGCGCTGTCCCTCAGCTCTTCAGCTCAAGGCTAGCGCTCTACCACTTGTGCCACAGTGCCACTTCCGGCTTTTTTCTTTTTGCTTATGTGGTGCTGAGGAATTGAACCCAGGGCCTCATGCATGCAAGGCAAGTGCTCTACCACTGAGCCACCTTCCCAGCCCAATTTTTTTTTTTTTTTGGGTCATGGGGCCTGAACTCTGGAACTAGGCATTGTCCCTCAGCTCTTCAGCTCAAGGCTAGCACACTACCACTTGAGCCACAGCGCCACTTCCAGCTTTTTCTGCTTATGTGGTGCTGAGGAATCTAACTCAGGGTCTCATGTATGCAAGGCAAACGCTCTACCACTGAGCCACCTTCCCAGCCCCTGAAATAGGTAAATTTCTATAAAAATTTGTAGCAATTTTAGAGCACTGAGTTCTGTCCTTAACATTTAGGTTTTCCTCAATGGCAATCTCCCTGCAATAACATACCCACAGATACTAAGGATCTACTGCACCATACTACGTTTTTCCTTCATCACTTAGTACTTCCCATCTTTGGGGTCATCAATAATTTAATATGTGTACAAGCTTAGAAACTGTAAGACTGTGGAAGCATGTGTCTTAAAAAACTCCATTACTCGAAGGGCACAGGGAACCTTGTGGCACAAATTTACATAAAGAGCAAAAATGCTCACCAGCAAAATAAAGTATGAACTACATACCAGAGAGATTTAACTCTAGCTGGAAAAGTTTTAATTCTGCAAGTACTTGGAGCCATTAATTATGTATACTTGTTTTATTCATAATTTGTAATGTTCTTGTATAGCAAAAGTAATTCTAATGATGGCTGAGTTTAACAAAAAAAAAATCTTTAACCCCATCTTAAAACATCCACTGATCTATTTCATTCAATGGCAATAGTCAATGTTAAAAGAACATAAAAACGAACATGCACACAATTGCACAGTTTTCATAAAGGTCTATTTCATTATTGGTGGGTAGCGCATTTAACAGTTAAATACATTTAAATAATGTATAGATGACTGCACGACTGCAGCATTGGTAACTAGATAACCAATTGAACTAGAAACCAGCTAACAAGTAACTGTCTAATATTTAAAATACAGCTCTTGTTTAGATTATCCTTTGTTTTGATCACCTTCTTGGGGGAAGAAAAAAGCCTGCTGGTCACAATGGAAATTTAAGGCCAAATCTTCTGATATTCATTTCCAGAGGTTTCTTTCAGCTGGATTAAGCCTCCAATTCCAGGGCAAGCCCAAGTTTATGGCCTCCAGCATTAATGCTCTTCCCATCTACCAGAGCAGACAGTGTAAGCTTCACACCTGTATCAAAGCAAATCACCATGATGAGCTGAAACACTTCACTACCAGTGTGAATCTTCTGCTGAGGCCACAAAGAGTGTGGCTTTCCATCACTTCCTCAGCCTGCCAGTTAAATATCCTAGTGCTAGCCACCAGATGGCGCTTGGAAGTAGAAATACCAGGAAGAACTGTTGGTAAGGTACCAAAGTCACATAGCATAAAAAGGTTATCAACAAATAACAAGTTCAAAATACTATCCAGACTAAAAGATATACTGTAGATTCTGAATCTTAACTGGATCCTAGAAAGGACAACCCAGAAAGACCCTTGGGGGAAATGTGACAAACTGACACAGATTACCTATTAATTTTCTTAGATGTATCAGTATATTGTTATTGTAATTTCTTATTCTTAGGCTATGCATACTATGAATATGTATCCATGTCTATGAAACATACATTTCCTAAGCTTGTGTGAAAAAGTTATGTGTAGAGAAAAAGTGAATGTAGACAAAGACTATTAACTAATTATTCTCTCAGTAGGTTTCAAAGTAGTCATAAATAGGGAGGGAGTATTCTATTGAGAGGGAGAAAAATCTCTTGACAGGTTTTTTAGATTTATTTTTGTACCAGTACTGGGACTTGAAGGCCCTCTGGTTTTCACTCAAGGCTGGTGCTCTATACCACTTGCCATACCACCAATTCCAACTTTTATTCATTACTAGAAGACTCAAGATTTTTCAGCCAGGGTTAGCTTTGAACCTTGATCCTTGGTGTTTCAGCCTTCTAAGTAGGATTACAGGTATGAGCCACCAGCATACCCATCATCGCCTGACACTTTAGAACTTTGTCAACAAATGGTTTAAACTGTGAACTGGGGAGCTTACTCAAATTACAAAACTCTCTACACACCTGTTGTATCATGAACAGACTTCCTAGGTGATTTAAAACCCATACTTAACTCTAAAAACTTAACTCCAGAAACCAGTACTAGATACCTGGGGGACAAATGTCATGATAAGCTGCAACTGAAACTTCCAAAAAAAAAAAAGAAATGAAAAAAAGAAGCAACTCTTCTACATGCTTACAATGTTTGCAAAGTAAGTTAAAAATCAAAAAATTTAAAATACTATCTACTTATCAAGAATACTTACCAGGCCTCAGAGTCTGAGTATAGCCCACTCCAATTAAACTAGAGTTGTTTACCTTTGCCTAAAATAAAAAATAAAACACTGTAAGAAAATTTTTTAAATAGACACAGCTACTACATGGTTTGAACAGTAAAACTCTCTTATTCATGTGATAGTTAAGATACAGTAGTATGAACTCAACCAAACAAAAATCAAGTGCCATTTAAAGTTATCCAGCAACTAAGAATTAGTTAGTATGTGTCCACAGGCCCTCAATTTGTCCACCTAGCACAAAAAGCCTACCTATTCACACTGGACTAAAATGGTAGCACTCCGGCCATGATCAAAAAGGCTGAGCAATGGGGCTGGGAAGGTGGCTCAGTGGTAGAGCGCTAGCCTTGAGCTGAAGAGCTGAGGGACAGTGCCCAGGCCCAGAGTTCAGGCCCCACAACTGGACCCCAAAAAAAAGGCTGAGCAAACTACCCTGAGTTCAAGCCACAGTTCCAGTACCCTTTCCCCAAAAGGCCTACCCATTCTCACAAAAATCATTCTTTTTTTTTGGTCAGGTCCTGAGGCCTGAACTCTGGGCTTGGGCGCTGTCCCTCAGCTCTTCAGCCCAAGGCTAGCGCTCTACCACTTGAGCCATACCGCCACTTCAGGCTTTTTTTTCTTTTTGCTTATGTGGTGCTGAGGAATGGAACCCAGGGCCTCAGGCATGCAAGGCAAGCGCTCTACCACTGAGCCACCTTCCCAGCTCAAAAATCATTCTTTTATTTAGTCTAAATATAAAAACAGGCATAAAACATTTTTAAAAAGTACTTGGGGCTTAAGTGGTTAGAGTGCTTGCCTAGCATGCATGAAGCCCTAGGTTTGATTACTCAGTACCACATAAACAGAAAAAGCCAGAGTGGCGCTGGGGCTCAAGTGCTACCCTGAGCAAAAGAAGCAGAGTTCAAGCCCCAGGACTGGCAAAAAAAAAAAAAAAAAAAAAGAGCAATGATTTAACTGTACAAGCCAAAAAAAAAAAAAAAAAATCACACAGCAGTTATAAGTCAACACTATAGCTAAGTCTTCATGAGCTACCCATGACCATGTGAGTCGTCTCAAGAATACCTTCAGTTTTGTTAAATGACAATTCCTTTGTACAACTAACTACTTAACGACAGTAAAAATAAAAGGCAAATGACAAGTTAAGAAATCACTCTATTTTATATTAATGGAAACAAATATTCTACAGTTAGCGATAAAAATCCAAATTTAAAAAAAAAGCCAGGAGGCTGGGAATGTGGCAATAGTGCTTACCTAGCATGCAAACCCTGGGTTTGATTCTTCAGTACCACATGAACAGAAAAGGCCAGAAGTGGTGCTGTGGCTCAAGTGGTAGAGTGCTAGCCTTGAGCAAAAAGCTCAGGGACAGTGCCTAGGCTCTGAGTTCAAGACCCAAGACTAGCAAAACAAAACACCAGGCACCGGTGGCTCACACCTGTAATCCTAGCTACTCAGGGGCTCAGATCCCAGGATTGAGGCTTGAAGCCAGCCTAGGCAAGAAATGCCATGAGACTCTCATCTCCAATACTTAAAAAAGCCAGAAGTTGCACTGTGGCCCATGTGGTAGAGAAGCTCAGGGACAGAGCCCAAGCCCCAGGACCAGAAAACAAAAAAACAACTTCACTAATGACCATCTTCTGCCCAACAAATTAACAGCTAGAAACAGCTGGATACAAGTTCCCATTATTTAACAGCACGAGCCAACCATCATAAAAAAAAACATTAGGCGATGCAAGACTGTTAGTATTAATGGATGAATAGCTGGCTCTACCTAGGTGAGATTCCAAACTAATTTCTCAGCAGTCACTCAATGACATATGAGTACCAAGGCACTTCTGAAGCTTGGCATTAAATCTGTGGTGGTCCACAGACATACATTTAATGAGAACAGCAATGAGAATAGTGGGCTGTGTGAATCCTGAGGTATTTAGTACAGTGAAAAACAGAAGAGGAACAATAAATGAATCAACCTTGCCAATGGGAAAAGTATTCAGGGTACTTCTTGTACAATTAGGGCTAAAACAACTAACTGCCTAGACTACAGAACTCATATGCAGAGCACTGACTTCCCATTTGAAACAGTGAAATATAAGCTTCCAAAGTGTTTGGCAAATGTAGGAAGCACTGTTTGGGGATGATGGGAATTTTGTGTATTTATGGTGGAACTAGCTTATGAATTCACTTCATATTAAAAAACAACTTCCAAAATAATAAAGCATTGTCCTCTTTTGCAACAGAAATTTAACTGTGATGGGTGGCTTAACTTTCATTGCCAGTGTATACAGACCAGGCAGTCCCTGACCTATAAGCAACTGACACATAGGAACAGCTGCTGAAATGGAAGCCAGACCCTCTGCACCCTCACACTGCACTCTCTCCCACTCAACCCACTAAGTACCCTGAATACTTTTCCCATTGGCAAGGTTGATTCATTTATTGTTCCTTTTTGGTTTCTCACTGAGCAGATTAAAGTATGAAGAACCTAGGATAGGACCAGAGTGGCTGACCATCCCACACTGAGAAAGTGGAGGGAGTCCTGAAGATACAGGGCTTTAAAGGACAATACCAGGCACTCCAGACGGACTGAAATCAAGACATGAGTTCACACTGGCTCTGTTCCCTTCCCCACCCAACAGCGCTAGTCTGAAGTCCTTTCTTTGCCAAGCTTCAGCTTTTTGCCTGCAAATCTGTCATTTGTACCAATGAACTCTTAGATCAAATCTGGAGATACTGCATAAACTAAGACAAAGTAAAATTAATCATAAAAGTACTACTATTCCCTAACACTATTATTTCCCCAAAGACATAAAACTTGGCTATATCCAGACTTGGAACTCATGGGTAATATCAACTTAAGAGTTTTTTAAATTAAACACAGAAATCCACTCTCTAACACTGTCTCCATAATAAAGTCAGCATTCCAAATTCTAAACCCAGTCAATCTGCTAATAGGACAATGTGTGTGAATCACAGTTCAAATTTTCAACACAATTTAACATACTCCAAGATTCACTCCCAAAACCAAAACCCCACTGTAAGCCCACAGAAATACTCACAGAAATGGAAGCAGTGGGATCCAACTGATATTTAGCTGCAATGCCAAAACGAGTGCAGTTGGTACCTGATGTCCAAGCAAGGTTTACTGAAGTATCAAGATCTTCACAAACTTTCTGATAAATTGATCCTCCAAATTCTGTCCCATCGTTGCTGTATTTTAAATTGGTAAATTCAAAACAGACAATGTTATCAATTCTAAGATGTGGGCTAACATTGTAGCATTTCTTTTAAATGTAAGTCACTGCCAGCGCTCATTAGTATAAGATTTCATCTCCAGAAGCAGTAGGGGGAAAACTCTTTACTAATGTTGCTCTCTAATGCCCACTGAAATTTTTAGTCTTTCTTTTTCTAACTGTATCTCCAATGCAAGGATTAGAAAAACAAATCACAGTACACTTATCCACTCTACTAATCATGTTCTAAAATGAATACTACTACTAATCAAATTATCAAAATATTCCAAACAAGATGGGCACTGCTATTGAAAAAAAGTAACAGTTTGAAGCCAACCCAGGCAGAAAACCTGAAACTTTTTTTTTTTTTTGGCGATTGTGTGGCTTGAACTCTGGGCCTGGGCGCTGTCCCTCAGCTCTTCAGCTCAAGGCGAGTGCTCTACCACTTGAGCTACAGCACCACTTCCAGTTTTCTGGTGGTTTATTGGAGATAGGAGTCTCACGGTCTCTCCTGCCCGGCTGGCTTTGAACCGTGATCCTCAGATCTCAGCCTCCTCAGTAGCTAGGATTACAGGCGTGAGCCACCGGCGCCCGGCAAACCTGAGATTCTTATCTCCAATAAACTACCAAAAAGCTGGAAGTGGAGCTGTGGCTGAAGTGGTAGAGCACGAGCCTTGAACTTCAAAAGAAGCTCAGGGACAGCGCCTAGAACTTGAGTTCAAGCCTCAGTTCTGGCACAAAAACAAAAAACAAAATTTACCCAATAGAGAAAGTTCTAACCTTTTGAGCATTCACACTCTGGTGAGCTAGGGAAATGGCTCAGTGGTAGAGTGCTTGTCTAGGCTCTGGCTTAATCCCTATTATTAAATATATATGAACAAAAAAAACATCAGATAATTAATCAAAAATTTTATATGCTAGCTGAAAGTTATGGCAAAAGGTTTTTCTAAATGTTTCTCTGGGGGCTGGGAAGGTGGCTCAGTGGTAGAGCGCTTGCCTTGCATGCATGAGGCCCTGGTTTCGATTCCTCAGCACCACATAAGCAAAAAGAAAAAAGCCGGAGGTGGCGCTGTGGCTCAAGCAGTAGAGCACTAGTCTTGAGCTGAAGAGCTGAGGGATAGCGCCCAGGCCCAGAGTTCAGGCCCCACGACCGGACCCAAAACAAAACAAAACTTCATACACTTTAGGCAATCCTACCAAATCCGTATTGAACACAAATACTGGCCAGGCACTGGTGGCACATGACTGTAATCCTAACTATTCTGGAGGCTAATATCTGAGGATCATGGTTCAAAGGTCAGCCAGGGCAAGAAAATTCATGAGATCTCCAATTAAACACACACACACACACACACACACACACACACACACCCCACCCCCACCCCCACCCCCCACCCCCGCAGAAGTGGAGCTGTGGCTCAAGTGGTAAAGCGCTAGTCTTGAGTAAAAAAGCTTGAGGATGGCACCTAGACCCAGAGTTCAAGCCCTAGGACTAGCACACACACATACAAAAGAACACACTGGTAGTTTACCAATGTGTAAATGCCTCTCCTAAAAGCGTATCATAACTCAAGTACAGTGAGTATTTATTCTTTCTGCAACCAAAGTCAAACTAATACTTTTACTACCTACTTCTGACGAACATTCTAGAAATGGCCAAGGGCATTTCCAAACAAACAAATAAAGAGAAATCCTTTGGGCTAAAACTATAGATTAGTAAGAGATGTCCAGAGACAAATCAAATGCCATCCTCTAAGGGTCTGTATCACAATACCCTACAGCAAAACAAATACTTACACATTAGTGTGTAGCTGGAAATCCCCAGTCCTGTAGCCCACTGCAAAATTATTCCTTGTCAGCTTTGATTTGGCGCTGTCAAAGGTCATCTGGTACCCAGCAAGCCAGCCTTCATAACCAAAGACAGCTGAACCATGGATTGCAGGTCCGGCAAAATCAAAGTCAACATCACAACCAAGATTTATACATTCCCTCTTGTAAGAAGACTTGATTTTACCACTTTTCTTTCTGGAAAAAAGAACAAACTCCCTTAATAGTGATACCAGTGACAGATTTACAATATGTAATTTACAATATATAATATACAGTACAAGAGTACATAATTCTATTTAAATAAATTACAGTGTGATTGGAAAGCAACACATTACAAAACAGTCCAATGGTTAAAAGTAAGGGCACAGGAGGTAACTGGACTGCCACTAGCACAGAACTGCTTCTAGAAATAGCAATTGGTGAAACAGAAGCATCTTAGAACAAGTTAATTACTTAAATTAATGCCACAATGAAAAGAGGCATATATCTGAAAGCAAGTCAATGAAATCAGGTTAAAATATCCATGCTTACCCAGTATTTGGTGAGAAGGTAGTATCAAATGTCAGTTTCAAACCTTGACAAATCTATTTTGGAAGGAAAAAAATGTTTATATTCAGCTTTATACACTACATGAAGCCTAAAAGTAAAAATTAATAAAGCACACTTTTGAAATGTTACCTGGTCTTCAATGGCGATTTCTGTTCCCAAAGTGTTATCAGTGTTCCATTTTTCTGTGAAAGTCAGACCATATTCACACCATTTATATTTGGTCTCCAAAGTCCCGGTAACTTTACCAGTGTCTGTATTAGATGAACCAGATGTTGAGAATTCCTAGTAAGGCAATACATAAATTTAATGAACCCTCTCATAATCTTGGAAGAAAGTACTACCTAACTTGTTTAACATCAATAACTTTATGTTATATACAAGAATGATAAAGACTTCATCTAACTGACTGCCACCTTACTTAAGGGCTATTTCCAACCAGTCAATTACAAATTAACCTGTAGCTAATTCAAGGAAACAACAATCTGTACATCTTTTATTAAAACTACTAAGGCAGAATTATCTAGGATAAAAAAAAAAATCAGCCAGGTATTGGTGGTTCAAGCCTGTAATCCTAGCTACCTAACAGGCTGATATCTGAGGACTGAGTTGAAGCAAGCTCACACAGACAAATCCCAGACTCTTATCTCCAATTAACCAGCAAAAAGCAGGAACTGAAGGCACAGCTCAAGTGGTAGAGTGCCAGTCTTCAGTGAAAAAGCCAAGTACAAGCACAAGGCCCAGAGTTCAAACCCTATTACCAGAACCAAAGAAAACTTCAATCAGAAATTGTGACACCTGCAGAATGAGGGGAAACAGGAGTTACTGTTCACTTAGAAAATAGAGTATTTGTCAGAATCTCCTAAAATTAGATGCTTTTGTTAACAAAAATGTAAAATCTAAGCTTGGCATTCAACCCTATAATAAAATACACTCAACTAGATTACGTTAAGAAATAACTCTGTGTATGTGTGTGTGAGCGTGCGCAGGCGCACATCAATCCTGGAGCTTGAACTAAGGGCCTGGTTCTTGTCTCTGAGCTTTGGTGCTCAAGGCTAGTGCTCTACCACTTTGAGTCACAGCTGAGAAAATCTTGTGGCCTTTCTTTGACTGGCTTCAAACCGTGATCCTCAGATCTCTGCCTACTGAGTAGATAGGATAACAGGTGTAGGCCACCAGCACAAAGCAAGGAAATTACTTGTGATCTAAAGTTACACGTTCTGATAGCCAGTTTAGATGTCATTTGCTAAATGTGTAACAATGAGGAACACAAACTTTTCCTATCTGTGGAGGGTTAAATTGAACTAACATTATGAAAGCTGTGCTCATTTGCATGTACTTTACATAAAAGGAAATCACTATTAAAACAGTGAATTTTAAAATGGAAAATATGTACAACTTTTTTTTTTTGGTGGGTTGTAGGGCCTGAACTCTGGGCCTGGGCGCTGTCCCTCAGCTCTTCAGCTCAAGGCTAGTGCTCTACCACTTGAGCCACAGTGCCACTTCTGGCTTTTTCAGCTTATGTGGTGCTTATTGTGAGCCCACAAGCAGTAATTTTTAATCAGCCCGACCTGCTGTCATCCATCAGTCCACAGATCAAGAACCAGTCTACACAGACACACACATATCCCAACACTGTAAAGTCAAAACCTATGTCCATATTACTTTCCCTACTATTACTTTCCCTATCTACAATATGCCTTTCCTTTTCAATGACTTGATTTACCCATCTAGTAATTGATATTACTCAATTCTTGATATATTCCCAGTTTTAAGTTTGTCTCTCTGACTCGAAAGCTTTTAAGAACACAAGCATTGAAATCTTTTTCCATTTTTTTAGGCCTTTGATGTTGAAACACACACACACACACACCCCTACATACATACCCACACAGAGCCAGGTGTCTGTAAGGAGCCTCAACAAATTTAAGTGAGAACATGCACACATACACACGCGCGCGCACACAAACACACATGAAAAACCAAGCTTGGGAAGTAGATGAGTGGTAATCAATCCCCAACAAGAAATGCACTAATTCACAGCTCCATAACCTGTTAACTTTACCAAGCCACTGACCCACAATTAAATGCCAAAGAAATCAAATGACAGAAATCAAATAACAAACACAAAATCCCAGAAACTTAACAAGTCTGGGAACTGGGGAAAAAAAAAAACAACAGGATTAACATATGTCAGTTATATAAACTACAGCAATAATTTGTCAAAACTATCAGTAATATTTCAATTAATGATACATCCACCCATAAAACAATCTCAAAAAATTTTAGAAAATGTAATTACATAAGCTTAAATTTTACTTTAATCCTTTTATAGGAATTTGTGAATTGAAATCTACATAGAAAAATACAAATACTAAACTGTTTAAAGATACTCAAATCAGCCAACTCCATAAACTCTCAAAATCCATGCAGAAATTTTCATGCAGGACTGCTGAAATATGGCACTACATAAATGGTTACTATACTTAACTTATTAGTTATTCACTGAATATTTTTATGCCCACAACTGATGGGCATTAAGAGAAAGTGAGCTATGCACCAGTAGCTCACGTCTGTAATCCTAGGTACTCAAGAGGCTGAGATCTGAGTGAGGATAGCAGTTCAAAGCCAGCCCAGGCTGAAAAGTTAACATGAGACTCTCAAAAACTGGAAGTGGTGCTGTAGCTCAAGTGATAGAGCACTGGCCTTGAGCACAAAGAGGTTCAGGGACAGTAACCCAGGCCCTGAATTCAAGCGCCACACTGAGAAAAAGAAAGAAAGAAAGAAAGAAAGAAAGAAAGAAAGAAAGAAAGAAAGAAAGAAAGAAAGAAAGAAAGAAAGAAAGAAAGAAAGAAAGAAAGAAAGAAAGAAAGAAAGAAAGAAAGAAAGAAAGAGAAAGAAAGAAGAGAAAGAAAGAGAAAGAAAGAAAGGAGAGAAAGAAAGAAAGAAAGGAAAGAAAGAAGAGAGAGAGAAAGAGAGAGAGGGAAGGAAGGGAGGGAGGGAGGGACAGAAAAAGTGCTTCTAAAGAGAATAAGAGAAAGCCGGGCGCTGGTAGCTCAAGCCAGTAATTCTAGCTACTCAGGAGGCTGAGATCTGAGGATCTAGGTTCAAAGTCAGCCCAGGCAGGAAAGACCTTGAGACTCCTATCTCCAATAAACCACCAGAAAACCGGAAGTGATGCTGTAGCTGAAGTGGTAGAGCGTTCACCTTGAGCTGAAGAGCTGAGGGACAGCGCCCAGGCCCAGAGAATAACAAGCTGTCTGCCTGTTATCTGAGTACACAGAGTCCCAAATGACCACTGTCTTTTCCAAGTTCTTTGTACACTTATACACAGTAAAAGGGAAAAGACTTTTTTTTAAAGAAACATCCAGTGCCAAAATAAACCAGGTTACATGTAAATCACTTCAAACAAATTACTATTTGCTCAAACAAATTTCTATTTGCCTCTTCAGGTAAAATAGTTACACATCTTTCAGCTATGACTTTTATGGTTAGAAATACTGCAAAGGATCATCAGATTTTTTAGGTAGCACACTCACCACACCACTGCATGACTTTGTTTTCACATCCAGTTTCACCAATCCAAAGCCTTCAAAAAAAGAGCAGAAAATAATAAAATGCTTTATCTGTACAAAAGATAGTCAAGTGTGTGTGTGTGTGAGTGAGTGTGTGTGTGTGTAATTTTCCCCCAGTCCTGGGGCTTGAACTCAGGGCCTGGGCACTGTCCCTGAGCTTCTCTGTGCTCAAGGCTAGTGCTCTACCACTTGAGCCACAGCACCACTTCCGGCCTTTTCTGTTTATGTGGTACCGAGGAAATCAAGCCCAGGGATTCATGCATGCTAGGCCAGCACTCTACCACTAGGCCAGATTCCCAGCCATGTCGTGTGTGTGTGCATATATATATGTATTTTTGTTTTTGGGGGGGGGGGGGTGTCCAGTCATGGGGCTTGAACTCTAGGCCTGGGTGCTATCCCTGAGCTCTTCTTCTCAAGGCTAGCACTCTACCATTTGAGCCACAGCACCACTTACGGTTTTCTAGTATTTAATTGGAGATAAGAGTCTCACGGACTTTCCTGTCCAGCTGGCTTTGAACTGTGATCCTCAGATCTCAGCCCCCTAAGTAACTAGGATTACAGGTATGACCCACCAGCGCCTGGCTCCTATATATTTTTTTAAATTCCACAAAGGGAAAGTGATCTAGTGGGTGAGATTGGTTGGAATATATTGTAAACAAGTGAGACAATATAATAATGAAATCCCCTTCTGTACTGTTAAGCTAATTAAAGATTTTACAGCCCAGTATTGGTGGCTGGCTCACACCTGCAATCCTAGCCACTCAGGAGGCTGAGATCTGACTATTGCAGTTCAAAGCTAGTTTAGGCAGGAAAGTCCACAAAAAGGCCTTGAGTTCAATTCAAGCCTCAGCACCCCACTCTCCCCTCCACACACATACATGCATGTGGGGGAAAAAAAAAAAAAGAAAAGAAAACCTGTTTGACTTAAATCTTCAGATATCCAACAGTTCATCCTAAATGTTTAGGACATTTATCTAAAAGAGGTGTGGGGAACAAATCTTTGAGAGGCAGGCATTTAGGAGCAACTACACCAAATGTGAAACTGTTATAGATCATAACTCTGTCAACAAAACTTAAGCTATATATAACTAAAGCAAATGAAGCCAGGTACCGGTAGCTCATACCTGTAATCCTATATACTTAGGAATCTAAGATCTGAGGATCATGGTTCAAAGCCAGTCCAAGCAAGAAAATGCAATGAGACTCCTATCACCAATTTACCACAAAAGAACAAAAAATGAAAAATGGAAGCAGAGTTGTGGACCAAGTAGTATAGTATAACGCTAACCTTGAGAGAAAAAGCTCAGGGACAATGGCCAGGCCATGATTTTAAGCCTCAGGACTGGTACGCTTTCGCACAGGAACACACCACACCCACACCCACACCCACTCAGACACATACATGAGCACAGAAACTGTCTTAAGGGTTAAAATGCATAAATGATATATTCTGAAAAAACTTGAGTGGACTGTAATCTACTTGATAGAATTTTAATTTAAAAATGTACCTAACAAAGGGAGGGGGAAGTCAAGAAATGAAGATCCAAGCACATATTTTCATTTTTTATGTAAAATTACAGAAAAACACTAAGTTCTTACCAAATCCTTTGTTGAAAATATCTCTGGCAGCTTTGCCAAGGTCAGCATATGATGGAGGGATACACATTGCTGGGGAAAAAAGAAGAATCCAATGTTAATGTTCCTGTTCTCTTACCTACACTCCAGAGGGAAATAAGCTATGAGACATGCTAACCTTTAAATTAAATTAGTCCAAATTCACTGGAAGCTCAGAAGCTACAATAAAACTACAATGATTCATGAAGGAGTCAGGCCTAACAATGGCTTCTAAAATGGATAACCATGTTGTACAAACTTGGAAAAGACCTTTCAAATAATATTAATAATAAAAACTTTCCACTCCTAAATTTTAACAGTGTCTACACAAACTTCACTGCAAAGAACCAGACTGGAACAAAGAAATATCTACATCTGCCAAGTTCACCAGGATGAGCTAATTCAACTTAGACAAAAAGCAAAACTTAAGAGGCATTTTCGGGGGGGGGGGGGGGGAGGGGGGGGGTATGATGGGGGGGAAATAGGAAGGGGAAACAAAGGAGGAGGCAACAATGCTTGATAAGACATGTATACTCATTACCTTGCTCATGTAATCGTAACCCCTCTGTACGGTATTTTCACAATAAAAAAAAATTAAAAAAGAGGCATTTTTCCCTCTTTAGCACCCTCCTTGAGATCCAAACTAACATTCAGAGGTGAGAAGGGACCCTAACGCTCTGAGTACCTTAGTATTGAGACCTAGAAAAAACTGCGGCCGTCTCTATTTCACTCAAGTGCCTACATCAACTAAATATCAAATGGCACTTTAAATGTATAAATACCACTCCTAACTTGGGCCCAAGCAGTAAGGCTTAAGGGCAAGCAATCTGAGCTCTCCCACTAGCTCATTCATTCTACAAAGGCACGTCCACGCCCTTCGGAGCACAAATAATGACCTTGCGCTCTCCCTAAGCAGATAACTACTTCCTCTCCCAAAGTAACCCCTCCGCTACCCCAAAGGCAGAGAGCCTCACAGTTGCTCAAACTTCTGGCTTCCGAATTTGTCAACCCTACGTCCAGAAACTGTAGGTGAATGCTGCCCCAGACCAACGCCCCCCCGCGGCCCTCTATCTGGCCCCCCCAATCCCGCAGCCCGGCTCCTCCTCTGCAGAGGTGATGGTCCGACGAAGGACCGGAGTGGCCACCGACAGGGACTGAGAGTCCCAGTCCCCCGAGGGGTAAGGGATGGGGTGGGCAAGTCGCGGTCCTCTAGCCGACGGGTTTTGACTCCCGAACCCCGACGCCCCATCCCGCAGAGCTGCCCGCTCCACTTACGCCGCACGCAGGGCTGTACGTAGGTCGCCATGGCGAGGCCGCGGGAAGAGGTGATCTGCGGGAGAAGGGGACAAGAAGTGCGGTCAGCTGGGGGAGGGGGTCAAAGGACCCAAAGAGGGTCTCGGACGGAGAGGGGCAGGGGGCTGTGGGGCCGCGCGGCCATCTTAGGGAGCTAGGGCCAACCCCGAGTTCGGCTCGAGCCTCCCGCTTGGCCGTCGCGGCCTAGGCCCCCCGGGGGTCGGCGTGAGGCGACCAGGGCGGTACCTGGTGGTCTCCTGAGGGCGCCGCTGCCGCCGCTCGGCTCGCAGCTGAGGCCGCTCGGCTCGCTCAAGGTCCGGCTGCAGCTGCCGCGGCTGGAGGGCGAAGTGAAGGAGACACCGTTCCGCCCGCCGCAACCCTGTCCTCCCCCAGCCAGGACCCCGCCGCTGCCCCTCGGGCTGCCCGCCGCGCCTGTCCCCGCACAGCCGCCCGCCGTCCCCTTCAGCCTACACCTGAGCAGCCCCGTGGAGCGAGGGTACCCCTGCCCCCCGGGCGAGCTGCCTCCGTCCGTCGACGGGGGCTGGGGGAACCGAAGCCGTCGGGCCTCGGGTCAGGCAGCGAGCCGGGCAGCCCCCAGAGGCCAGGGGGCGGGGAACGGCGGAAGCAGCGCGACGGCGTCCGCGCGGGCGGGGGGGTGGGGCGGAGGCTCGGCGCGCGTCACGGGAGGGGCGGGGCTTCGGGCGCGCCCCGCGGGTCACGTACGTCTCTCCAACGCCCTCCGGCGCTGGTGCGCAGGTTCCGTGGCCCGGCGTGCTTCTTCCGGGGGGGGGGGGGGCTTCCGGCCCGAAGTTAGCGGGCGTCCTCTGGTCTGCGCGGAACTCGTGCAATGCGCTAGTGAAACACCCTCCCTCAGTATCGGTACGGGAGGTGCCTGCAACCCCAGCCGCGCCGGCTTTGGTCCGTCGCGGTGTCTGGGTCACGGGGCGGAGCTCTGCGGCCTGAGGGGGGTCTCCGGGGCTCCCCCTCACTGAGCACCTTTCAGTCTGCACCTGCCCCTCGGGGTCGCTCTGTGGCCTCCTCCCCACCCAGACATGGGGCTGCTTTACCAGCACGCAGAGGGAGCCCCGGGGAGGACTGCGGGTTAGGCATTATAATGCGGTACCCACCCCAGTGATCTGGGTGTGCAGGAAGCCAAAGGAAGAGGGGGCTGGGGGAGAAGAGCAGTCTTGAGGGGAAAGGTGGGGTTGGGGTAGTTGGGAGGGGGGAGTGTTGCTGAAAGGGGTGACATCTATGCGTTGTACATGCAGATCGATACTTTGAATTGAAGCCCTTTTGTATAATAACTATTTTTAAAATGAACATTCTAATGAAATAGAAATGGCTCATTTAGGGCTTCAAATTAGTCTCCTGCCTCCGTTTTAGCCCATGCACCTCAGTTTCTTTATAAAATAATAAGGTTAAGTGAAATTATTTTTAATAGCCATTCAGCCATACAATTACAGACTGTGCCAAGTCCTCAAACCCTACCACCACCAATTTATTTCTGAAAGCCTCAAATGCCTTCACAGTAATATAATACTCTTCTAACTAGTTGACAAGGTAAGATTTCCATAATCCAAAACTCAAAACTTCAACCTGGTAAATTTTCCCCGTGTGCAAGCCCAGCCAGAAGTCTTGCTGGGTTATAGCTAGGTTTACTAATGTTCTAAAAAGATAGAAGGGAAGTATTTACTTGTAAGAGACTCCAGAAGAATTGATATTTTCCCCCTCATTCAATCATTCTGGCTCCAATAGAAGCTAATCTTCTCCATGTTTGATGCTATTTGCAAGGCTGTTGGGCAGAAACTGGCATCCTCATCACACTTACTCTACAACATACCCACCAAAAAACGCAGCTAAATTACCTCCATTTCCTGCAACACCCCTGTACAAAAGACAAGTTAACAAAAGAGAAACAGATTAATTTGATGATGCTTTTAATGATTTTTGTTGTTTGCTTGATGTCTTTGTATATGTGTGCTGTACTAGATTGGATTCAGGGCATTGAGCTCTTCTTGTTCAGCTTTTTTCCCCCCATCACAACAGGAACTCCATACTTCCATTTCTGGCTTTTTTCTGTAACTGTAGATCAGAGTCTCTTGAATTTGCCTGCCTAAGCTGACTGAACAAAGATCCTGATTGCAGCCCCCTGAGTAGCTAGTATTACAAGTGTGAGCCACCGGCACCCACCTTTTCCATGGTTTTATCATTCTTTTCTTTGTGTTTGGTCCTTGATCTTAAACTTCAGGCCTGGAAGCTGTCTCAGAGCTTTTTTGCTCAAGTTTAGTGCTCTATTACTTGAGTTACAGCTCTACTTCTGGCTTTTTGATAGTTAATTGGAGCTAAGAGTGTCAGACTTGGGGCTGGGAAGGTGGCTCAGTGGTAGAGCGCTTGTCTTGCATGCCTGAGGCCCTGGGTTTGATTCCTCAGCACCACATAAGCAAAAAGAAAAAAGCCAGAAGTGGCGCTGTGGCTCAAGTGGTAGAGCGCTAGCCTTGAGCTGAAGAGCTGAGGGACAGTGCCCAGGCCCAGAGTTCAGGCCCCACGACTGGACTGAAAAAAAAAAAAAGTCTCAGACTTTTCCCTCCTGGGCTGGTTTCCAACTATGATCCTCCTGAGCAGCTAGGATTACAGGCTTGGACCACCAGTGCCTGGCTCATCATGGTTTTAATGAGACAAAGGAGCCTTTGAGTTGAAGACCCCAGATACTCAGAGTATATGAGTTATCTGGGTGTCTGGGGTACATGAGTTTGTATGTTTAGGTTCAAGTAAGCATAGATAGCTGCACAGAAGTAATGTCTGAACAAAACCAGGCCCAGTGGCTCTCACACCTGTAATCCTAGCTACTCAGGAGGCTGAGATCAAGAAGACTGTAGTTCAAGGAAAGAAAAAAGTTCACAAGATCTCACTTCATAAAAGCTGGTCATGGTATCATGCACCTGTCATTCTAGCTACAAAGTTCAAGATTGGGCAAAAGTAAGAACCTATTCAAAAATAAACAAAAAGAGGTGTGGCTCAAGTGGTAGAGCAGCTGCCTAGCAAGCACATGACTGAGTTTAAACTCCACTACTACTAGGTACCAGTGGATCACACCCATAATCCTAGCTACTCAGGAGGCTGAGATAGGACTGAGGTTCAAAACCAGCCCCCACAGAACTCTGACAGATTCTTATCTCCAATTAACCTACAAAAGGCTGAAAGTGGAGGCATTCCTCCAGTAGTAAAGCATCTGATAAAGCATCAGCCTTGAGTGGAAAAGCTAAGGAATAGCAGGAGGCCCTGAGTTAAAGTCCATATAATATATATATGTAGCATATATATTGCTGGCTGCTGGTGGCTCACCTGAAATCCTAGCTACTCAGGAATCTGAGATCTGATTATTATGGTATGAAACCATCTCAGACAGGAAAGTCCATGAGATTTTTTTTCTTTTCTTTTTTTTTTTTTTTTTGCTAGTCGTGGAGCTTGAACTCTGGGCCTGGGCACTGTCCTGAGCTCTTCAGCTCAAGGCTAGCAACTCTACCACTTGAGCCATAGCACCCACTTCCAGCTTTTTCTGCGTATGTGGTGCTGAGGAATCGAACCCAGGGCCTCATGCATGCAAGGCAAGCACTCTACCCCTGAGCCACCTTCCCAGCCCTGAGTCCATGAGATATTTATCTCCAATTAACCAGCAAAAAGCCTGGTAGAGTACAGGCCTTGTTGAAAAAGCCAAGCAAGAGCTAAAGGCCTTGAGTTCAAGCCTTAGTACCAGAAATTTAAAAAAAAAAAAAAATCAGGGAGGGCTGGGAAGGTGGCTCAGTGGTAGAGCGCTTGCCTTGCATGCATGAGGCCCTGGGTTTGATTCCTCAGCACCACATAAGCAAAAAGAAAAAAGCCGGAAGTGACGCTGTGGCTCAAGTGGTAAAGCGCTAGCCTTGAGCTGAAGAGCTGAGGGACAGCGCCCAGGCCCAGAGTTCAGGCCCCACGACTGGACCAAAAAAAAAAAAAAATCAGGGAATGGCTTAGTTGTCTGGCTCTGGCTCTGGCTCAGGGCCTTTCATGAGGCTATTGTCATAGACAGGTTGACACTACTGTCATTTCTGCTTGCTTTGGTTTGCTAGAAGAGATGTGACTAAGCCAAGAACTGGTGGCTCGTGCCTGTCACTGTAGCTACTCAGGAAGCTGAGATCTGATGATCATGGTTCAAAGGCAGCCTAGGAAAGAAAGTCCATGAGACTCTTATCTCCAAGAAACTACTCAGAAAAAGCTGGAAGTAGTGCTGTGGTTTAAGTGGTAGAGTACTAGCCTTGAGCACAGAAGCTCAGGGACAGTGCCCAGGGCCTGGCAAAAAAAAAAGGAGGAGGAGGAGGAATAGGAGGAGAATGACCAAGACCCAACCATACTCAAGGGGAGGTAAATTAGGCTCCATCTTTTGAAAGGAATGTCATAATTTTTGGCTATGTGTGTGTATGGTGAGAAAGAGACAGTGATAGAGATACAGAAGCATGTAAGATTTAGCAGTGGGCCATTATGGGTGGTGAGCAGACACAGAAGTTTGGTGTGAAAGGAATTCTGAAGGTTGAGGTGGTGAGACTAGGATGTTGGCACTGTCTACACCACACAAACTAACATACAACAGTGGGATAAATACAGGGTGTTGACAGCTGAAGTCACCAGGGTGTTACTAGGATGGGAGGTATAGAGAACAACTCTGAGTCAAGTTCCAAAGTCCTCCAGGAACATGAATGAATAACCAGGAAGCTGGTCTTAAGTGATAACAGGCTGGGGGTAGCTCAGTGGTAATGTGTGAGGCCCTGGTTTGGATGCCTACCATGGAGAATGGGAGAAAAGAAGGGGGTAGCAGAGGACAGCAGAGCTGATGGTATGAACCTCCAAGGATGTGATCCTGTAGGAGGATGGGAGCGTAAGCAGAGTGGCAGGCAGCCCTTCCACCTTCAAGCCCAGACCAAGGGATGGACAGGCTAGAGAAAAAGTATATACATTTATCTAATTTGGGGAGGGGAAGGGAAATAAAACAGAATGCTGAAACAAGGATACAGATGACTCATTGCAACAATGATACAAGACACTATGTTGGAAATGAACTTTACAACCTGGGGAGGGAGGAGTGGGGAGTGGGAAAGGTGGGGAGGGAAGGAATAGTAGGGAAAAAACAAAGGAGGGTGTAAACAATGTTGACAAGAAATGTACTCATTACTCATGTAACTGTAACCCCTCTGTACAGCATCTTTAAAAAAAAAAAAAAGCAGTATTCCTAGGCATCCAGGGATCCCAGGGAAAAGGAAGACCATGAAAGTGTTCAGTGGTGCAGCTGAGGACTTGGCAATTTGTTTTCAACAGAACTTGGTTCTAGAGGGCCTTGCGGGATTGGGACAGCAG